CATAGAAAACATTGTCTTGCTAATCGCGATTCCCCATTGGAATGCACTGAAATCTATTTAATGCGTTCCAATGGGGAAAAATCATCATCTTGCGAAGTGCCACAGCGATCATAAAAACCAATCGTCTTGTGGATTAATCGTCCTGCGAGGCAATCATCTTGCGAGGGCAATAACCTAAGGATATCAAGAACCATGGGCATGGGATGGATAGGTAACAGTGCTTGCCAATTTATAAAAGGCATGCATATTTGGAAATGTATACATAATAATCTATAACCTTGTTGTTGGCTTGCACAAGTTAGCTTCTAAAGAATCTCTCAAAGAAGACTTCTTTGGTCCATATTAATTTCTAATTTTAAACCCCTTTATATGGATTATGTAAATATTTTAAGAAAGTTTGTTCTTTCTCCTCCTTTTCCCTCTTTCTTTGCTGAAACAAGAATCAAGCAATAAGAGATCCCAGCACACATAACATATATTCTTCTAATGGGCAGCTGCATATAAAGAGCCACTAAAAGTACATGCTCTGTAAGCTGATTGTACAGAATATAAGAGATCATCCTGTGCTTCTGAATTAGTGAGTAAATAAATTCCCCAATAAATGCCTGAATGACATAGTGCTTACCCAATAAATACATCAAAAAATGCCTGAATGACATAGTGCTTACCCAATAGCTGCCAAAACTGGATCCAGTATTTCCACTTTCAAAAGGAGTAAGGATGGAGAAAAAAGGGAGCATAGAAAGAGTGGGTGGCTGTGACATCTGTGTAATGGGAGAAGGCAACTGTTTCCAAGGTAAAGCAGGAAAGGTATACACAGAGGGCACATGCCCTACAGGAAATTCTAAGAGGAAACCACCACCACCTGCAGTTATGTGTGAGAATGGCATGGGGCTCCACAATGTGACATGTTGCATGACATGTTCTCATGCACCTCTTGGTGCCCAAATCACAATTTTCAAAGAGGGAACAAACAGTCAGTAAGCAATAATGTACAGTGGTGCCTTGCTTTACGATTGCCCTGCCTTATGACGAATCTGCTTTACGACGATCTTTTTGCGATCGCAAATCAATGGTCTAAATAGGGGGATTTCGCTTTGCGATGATCGGTTCCCTGCTTCGGGAACCGATTCTTCGCAAAACAACGTTTTTCTAACAGCTGATCACGGTTTGAAAATGGCCGTCGGGTAAATAAAATGGCTCCCTGCTGTGTTTAGGGATGGATTCCTCGCTATACAGGCAGCGAAAATGGCCGCCGTATGGAGGATCTTCACTGGACGGTGAGTTTTAAGCCCATTGGAACGCATCGAAAGGTTTTCAATGCGTTTCAATGGACTTTTTATTTTCGCTTTATGATTTTTTCGCTTAACGGCGATTTTCCTGGAACGGATTATCGCCATTAAGCGAGGCACCACTGTATTGCAATATATTTTTCAATTCCTGGTCAGAAAACGTAGTACATTGATTATAATTTGGAAGATGAAGGGACTGGTGAATTACAAGAAGCTAAGTCATCAGCGACATAGCTGCCTCCAGTTTTCAGCACTCAAGTGATGCGGTGCTAAATTAGAAGCAATGGGACATGAACTTGGCATCCAAAACCTGGCAAACCCCAGTTTACTCCAAAATGAGTTTTTTTTTTTAAAAAAAAGAACAACTAGAATTAATTCAAAATACACAAGCCACACATAGGTATTTTTAAAAACTCACTTTCTGATTGAAAAAAATATGCACTTAGCTATCTGGAAGATGAGTCATGGCAACCGGACTAATTTCTTAGTAGGCTGAAACATTTTGCTACTTATCTAAGTAGCTTCTTCAGCCAGTTCTTCAGTCAGTACTTGGATGAGTAGTGAAACATTTCAGCCTAATAAGAAAGAAGTCCAGTTGCCATGACTCAGTTTCCAGATAACCTCACCTGGATGACTGAGAATCTTCACAGATATATGCACTTAGCTGGACAATGTTTAGTTAGAGCTTTTTTATTTGATTCCAAGTGTACTAAACCTGACAAACAACAGGAGTATTATGACATGTAGTCAACCCCTCACTTTCAAAATTTAACAGCCATTTTGATTAATTTTTTTCAGGGTTTATGCCATTAATTTATACATCCTAAGCAGCAAAGGAAGTCCTCTTTGGTTTCATTTTTTCTTTTTGTAAACATTTGCAAGGTAAAACATGAGAACTGATTACTGGTGGAGAAAAAAGAATATTTCTTGAACCAGCTGGTAATGGCAATCCAACCTGTTAATAACCTGCATGAATGTGTACATAACTGAAGTAACAATAATAGTCCAGCTGCTGAGGGTAATGAGTAACATAATGAATTCCCTTAAAAACAAATGTTTCAAGCTCCTTTTTGGGGACCAAGTGTTTTCTGATCAATTAAGCTGTGCAGTGAATGAACAGGGTAGGAGTGAGGCAACGTCTAACGTGAATGCTTGCCTTTGTGTGTATGGGCAGACACGTAACAATAAACAGTTTTTCTCACAGGTCTGATTTTCATTTGTGGCTCTACATGGTATTTGGTTGCTGTGTCTTTGCTCGCCAACCACAATGGGCAACAATCTCCACTATAAAAATAATATACACAGGCAGAGCTAAAATTATTGTGGGGTTTTTGTAATGCATTTGAAACATAGCTTTCTCTTTCTCTTCTTTTCCTTTTTTTGCTACCCCTACTGCAATAGTTTTCTACACATGCCTGTCAAAGCGGACAGTGAAGAATCTAAATAAAAACTGGGCAGCAGTGTCAGGATATCCTGTTGTATCTATCTAAACAAGTCAGATACATGACTCACCAAACTGTTTAATAACTGGTCTCTACTGTGCAGTTTCTTTTATTTAAAGTTGATACGCATATTGTATCATACGTGCATGGATATTTGTTTATTTAAAGCATTTTCACCCTAGTCTTTAGCCAAAAAGGAATCTCAGAACAACTTATGTAAGATTCCTAAATATAAGACAGTCTCACCCCTACAGGCATCTCAGACAAAACAGAAACATGAAACAAAACAAAACAAGAGTAAATAGGAGAATCAAGCAAGCCAGGCACCAATAAAGATAATCATTTAAATTTGTTATAATAGCCAACCGAAATAGGCACAGCTCAAGAAGAAAAGGAGCCAAATGGAGCTAGTTTCTTAATGGAGCCCAAGCAGTGGCAAGGCTTCCCATCTCTCTCTCTCTCTCTCTCACACACACACACACACATACACACACACACTATTAAACCCAGGAAAGTTACTATTGTGGTTTGGAGGGGAACCTAGAACTTGGAGTCTACAGTTAACAAAGTTGCATGATATCAATGTTTATTGGCCAAAATCCTGTTTGGGTAGTTATGACATACAAAGTGGGTGACATAATCTTCTGGCACTAGTAATATTTAATTAAAAATACTCACAAGCTTCCTCCCACCCTGATCAGGTTTCGGGGTTCTCTAAGGTTCTGTTTTGTCAATGCCTTTGGGAGCTTTGGGATGGGGAAGTTATTATGTTTAAAAATCACCATCAGATTGCTGGTGCTGGGACTGAGATTGCCAGCAGTGATATTTGACTATTGAAGGCTCCCTTAGACCTCCATCTTAAGGCTTTCAAAGGCTTCCCAGGTATGAGTAGGGAAGTGGAGGCACTCAATGAGAGTCTTCTTCCGTATTCCACTGGCCCTCCATGAGTTCTTGCCAAAACTGAACAGTGAACACAGTCTGGAAATCTTCCCCTGGGCACTACCCAAGACTATATGTTCAAATGGAGCAAGGAGATGGGATAGATTTGGAACAGCAGAAAGCGAAGTGGGGAAAAGACTGCTAAGGAAAGTTCCTGCCAAGTAGAGAATACAAGGAACCTGGAGGAAGAGACAGGGTTGTTGGCAAGAAGGAAGAAGGAAGCCATATAGGGGGTTGGGCTGAGCCATATGCAAGTTTTGTGGCTTCAAAGCACAACCCTCCTCTAGTAGGGTATATTTGGGTTAGGCTGAAGGAGCACTCCAAAGCCAAAGTTAAACTATGTGAGATGCTGAAACAGGGACAGATAAACTGGGAGGAACTGACTGTGTGCTGGGAATCATTGCCTGTGCTGGGAAACCGTTCCAACGGCTGTACCAGTTGGCACAGGAAATCAAGTAAGATAAGGGGGAAGTTTACAAGCCATGACAGTGTTACACCTTGGACTATAGCTGCTTCTCCTGCTAATGGAGCTAATGCATTTGTACAGAGCACTTAACTGTTCTGGTGGACAGGTGTTGTATATACTTCAAAATAAATGTTGCATTTGTTTTTAGACATTGACTCTAAGTTTTGTACTGAGTGACTGATGGCATAGGAGGGTTGTTCATGATCCCTGTCCTCTCAGAGGAGATATACTCCTTCATACCAGGGCAAAACAGAGTCCTGGGGACCCAAAGAACCTGAAACGGGAGGGAAGAGAAGCTTTGAATTAGATTTAATTAAATAACCACACTGGGTGATGATATCATCCAGTGTGCAACTATATGAACAGGATCATGGCCTTCATGTAATACATTAATGTCTCATACACAGACATTCTGACGATTCACTCTCCATCACCTTCTTTCCTTTTTCTGGCACCCCAAAAAGCCTTCCCCTCTTTAATACCAATCCAAGTAACTTCTCAATTTTCACATTCTTTTTCTAATCAACTTATCCTTTGTTTTGTCCCACAAACCTCTTAATGTTGTTTGATATTTAAAACACAACCTTCCTAGACTCTCCTCTTCCCGTAGTTACCATCTGCCTGCATTTCATCTTCTCTAAGCTCAAGCTTTCACCAATTCTACTCTGTTGGAACCTTTTAATACTTTAAACAATCTTTTTATAGCCAAGTCCAGAATTTAGAATACACTATGCCTGGGACAGATAGATCAGCTTCTGATGCTAATACAAGTTTTGAAACATAATCTCTATATGTAGAACAAAGTCTAAATTATTAAAAATCTTCTCACTTCACTTTGGTTAGCACAGAAAACACCTTAAATTCTATGACAAAATATTTTATTGGTATCCACAACAAGCACGGTGCACCATTTCTTTCTTCAAACAACAACAAAGTATCTTAGAGCAGTCACCGATTTTAGAAATAAATGAATGGTAAAAGGATGAAACTTCAGGATCATCTATGTTGCACTGTAAGCTAGCTCACTCACGTGGACAAATCAAGATACATCTTGTCTGATTAGGTTGCCAAAATAAGCAGTTATGGTCTTCAATCTGTTGTTCAGAAAATTTTGTTCTATTTCAACTTTCCCTCCTGGTCCAGCTAAAGAAGCAACCTAAAAAGTGATAATAATAATATTAACAACAACAGTACAACATCAAAAATGTACTACTACTATTATTATAATACTACATCCGAGAGACAGCCACAGCTGTAATGGTAAACAACATGAAAAAAAGACAGGCTTTTATGCAAGCAGAACAAGTTTAATCCTTTTGCTTTTTCCATCAGCAGCATATAATATATTTGATCTCATACAGGTGGGTTCGTCCTATGTCCACATGAAGTGGCACAGTAGGAACTGCCTTGAAGACAATGTTGTCTTCTCTGCCAACAAAAGGGGGATTGCTTTTTTGAGATATTTATTCATTTATATTTGGTACACAGTCCTTCAATAAACTATTGATTGATTGATTGATTGAGTTCATTTATATTTGGTACACTGTCCTTCAATAAACAATCCAAGATAAGAAGAGCTCATGGAAATACATTAAAGCAGTCCATTCAAATACTCACATGAGAATGTTTAAATGTGCTGACGCTTAAAAGGGACACTTTTAAAACTGATTCATCTAGATATCATATCCGAAATAAGAAGAGCTCATGGAAATACATTAAAGCAGTCCATTCAAATACTCACATGAGAATGTTTAAATGTGCTGACGCTTAAAAGGGACACTTTTAAAACTGATTCATCTAGATATCAAAACATGACTTGTGGCATTCCAAAAACTACTGTTTTATTTGATTTAAGCTTTATCCACAGCTTATGTGAAAAACTTTAGTCTTTAAAGAGCCACCATGCTATAACCTTATTATTTCTGAATGTTCTGAACCTACCACCTCCCTAAGCAGATTCTATCATTTCTTCTGTTTAGCAAAAGGATTGGTCAGACCAGGCTCCATATTCCACAGTACTGCAAGACTGAACTGTATTTGACTTCTGCTCACATGCAGTCTGATATATAAAAGAGGAACAATGTTCTATGCTGACAGGGCACATGGAATGACTGCTGCATTCAGCCAAATAAGAATTTCTAGCTACTGACTGACAGATTTCCAGCTATTTTCTTTCCGTATTCCTTCAAGATTTCAGCTGCAATTGACTGTTTTCATAGAATCATGAAGTTAAAAGGGGCCTATCTGGCCAACAAGCCCAGACCCCTGCTCAATGCAGGAATGCAAGCCTATCTGGCCAACGAGCCCAGACCCCTGCTCAATGCAGGAATGCAAGAAAGCAAATCAAAGGATATCTGCCAGGTGGTTGTTTTAGGCATGAACTTCATCTTTGATATATTATTTTTTAAAAATAAATGCACTGCACAGAGGGAAAAAGTTAAAAATTAATTTTTTTAAAGAGACAAAATCCTTGCATGAAAAAGTGAAATAGCCACCAAAAGCAGCTTTTGTCTTAAAACTTGTCTGACAATAAAATTCATTGTTCTTATTATGAAAACCCAATGAACCACAAAGAAAACAAAGCAATAACCCCAAAACTGGTACTAGAATACTAGCTATAAAGATAGCAAAATAATATTAATAAATGATGCTAAGGAGGGCCCAAAGATTTTTGGAAGATGGGATGTGCAAAACACTGAACTGTACATAAATGACAGTCTGGGAGGACCATCTCTGTATCTCAGAGAGAGAATAATTGAAATCAAAGTTTGCAAGTTTAACTAGATATATACACTGGAAACAAATACAATGAATTGAAGGGCATGCTTAGTAACAAACTTGTGTTCACCAGGGCTGTGACACATATGAGGGCACATAATTTCTCTCCCCTAAATTCCAGGAAAAAATTGGTGTGTGTGTCTCATGGGTGACAGTTGCAGCTACCAATGAAAGGGACCAGGTCCTAAAGTATCCAAGGTTATGATTCCCTTTCTCTTTTTCTCCCTCTTCCAGCCTTTTGCTCCTTTCTGCCTCCTGCACCACACTGAGTGGGTGGATGGTGAAGGGACAGATTGCTCTTATAGAAACTTGATCCATTTACTGGAACAAGGACCGAAAATTAAGACAGAGAGTTGCATGATCTCAAGCTGAACAGTGCAAGTTGACCACCCTCTTCTATGTACTTTTACTTTACTTTACTTTTACTGAATTTATACCCCACCCCTCTAGACAAAGTCTACTTTTAAGTAAACACATGGACTTGTATTGTGAAATCATTAAGTTCCTTCAGGACAGTTGAGGTTTCTCACTAGGCAGGAGCTGAAAGCTCAGCAAAATGCTGATGGTGGTGAGAAGGCAATTTATTAAGAGACGTGCCTATCCTACTTACATTCCCCAAAAGGACACCCTCTACAGTTTCCACTCCTGCTTATGAGCAAATGACTGAGAACTATGGTCTAATTATAAACTGTAACTAGATATCTCCAAAGAACACTTACTTTTGACAAAGGGAAATAACTGGATTACACAACTTGTAATATACTAATTCCTTTTTGGGAATCAAGCATTTAATCAGTTCCTGTTTGACACATGACTGTATTTTTAACATTCAGCATATATTCAAAATATATTCTGATTTTCCTTTGAAGCTTTAATAGTTCTAGAAGTTACTGCAATACAGTTAAGTTACTGCAATTACTTGTGAATTCTCTCAATAAGTTTAATTAAACTTTATAGAAATTTAGAATTGGACTCAAGTTCCAACCTAAAGCAATCAATTTTTACTGTTCTGTGTACTTTGAAACTATAAAGAGCTGGAGATGTGGTTCCAGAAAAGATGAAAGGTTATGTCCTAAGAAGATCATTGCAAGAACACTCAACATCTTTAAAAAATAACCAAGATTTTTTTAACTTCTTGTAAACATGTGTGGATTAACAGTGTCATTTAAATGCAATATTACAAGATGTGGTGCTATTAAATCCCATCATAAGCATATACAAATAAGTCTATGAGACACTTTAGCCACAAACATTTGTTAACTTAGTTTGCATTCCCTTTGCTGGCTATGTGCTTTGAAAAGAAAAACACATTACTTGTAACAGGCATCTTCGCACCTGCAGACATAACCACAGCAAGTGTACCCCCAAAGCCAAGGATAGTCGCATGCTCTTAAAGCCAATTAATGTTTTGAATGTTTTACTTGTGAATTCTCTATTTCATTCTGTACATATTCCATATGTCTGAAGAAGTGGACTGTTTCATTCTGTACTTCATTTTATTCCATATGTCTGAAGAAGTGGACTTGATCCATGAAAACTCATATTAAAATATAATAGTTTTTAAGGTGCCACATTTTTTGTCTTATTTTGTTTCGCTTCGATTCTTTGGATTTTGCCTGATACTTATTTCTCTGATTAGCTTAAAGGACAGTTTTTCTGTCCTTGTTTTCTGATGCTGTATCTTTTGGTATGACTGCTCCCTCTAGAGGAAAAAGGAAGAAACAAGGCAGAAATAAATTCAGGGACTTCCTGATTTGCAGCTTGCTCCTAACTACCACATTAGGCTCTCCTGTAAATTACAACTTACCTGATCTACATCAGCATTGCGGGGAAGGAAATACACTATGTTGTTGGTAATCCTTTGTGAGACCTTGAAAATCTCAAATGTAGATGTAGATGTTAAAGAAGAAGAAAAAAAGGGATAAAAAGTTGCAACTTTTACTGTAACTACTCCCTAACACAGGGTAGACAACCATTGGCCTTTCTTTTGTTGAAGGTGCAATGTGCTCTATATTAGTTCTGTCCTTGATGGCTGATTTCCCTTTTCTGGGGATATTTTTTTACTGGATGGGAAAAGAAAGTTGTGTTGCTATCTCCCCTGCAGCACATCCACTCTACCGCTTCGCAGTCTACAACCTTAATCCCAGCCAAACTACATATTCTCCCAAAGCACTCTTTCCACCTCACTCTTATAATTCCTATTTGGTCAGTAGATCTTAAATACAACATTTGATTGGTTTTAATGCACAGAATCATTAGCAGAGGAATTTATCTACAAGGCTGTGAGTAATGGGGAGGTTGTGGGTAGAAACTAGTGACTAGGAGATCTGGATTATCCTAAAATAATGGTTCTCAATGTTGGGTAGCCCATGTGTTCTTGAACTGCAATTCCCAGAAATCTTAACCACCACCTGTGTTGCTAGCTCAGGTTTCTTGCAGTCCAAGAACACCTGGGTTTCGCAAGGTTAGGAACCACTGTCTTAGATGATTTCAGTAATAGTAACCATCTGGAGATTATTACATTATGTAGGTGATCCTGTTTTAGGACCAAAACTTAGATTTAATACTATCTCATAACTACCAGAAATTCTGTGCAACATTCAATTTCTTGAATATTTTAAATATTTTAAATTTTCAGTGTAATGATGACAACTAACAACTCAGATTACACTTTTCAGAACATCTGAATATTCTGCAATGCCAAACTTTAAATGACCTTGCCACCTGAAAATGTATGGCAGAGAACTCCCAAATTCAATAAGAGAATTTATCCTGTGAGAAAGAATGGCATTTGCTTTCATGATGGAGAAAAACAATAACAGTGTGACTTGGAAAAGGATATCCATCAGGAGAAATCATGGTCTGGACATCAAAGACTTCTGCAGTGGCATACTCAGGCCCACCCCAAGGAGGACTCAGAAATACGACATCTGCTTTTAATCTGGATGCGACCTTCATGAAGTCTCCACATATGAATTCAATCTTGTCAGCTACTCCATACACTGCTGCATTGTTCTGAGCAAGGCAGATCTTCCCAGGATCAATATCAATAGCAATTACTGGGAAATACAGACAATTTTTAAAAACCATTACAAAAACACCAGCAAAGCATCCATGTTAAACTTTGGAAACAGTCCGAATTAGTGACTGATCTCAAAAAGGAACAAATTGCTTAGCTGCTTGTTTAACAGTTTAACACCTTTATTTTCAGTGGCTAGTATCCTGGTTCACTGGTGCAACAGGAGAGATCTCACTGGCAACAGCAAACTGCCATTAATTGAAGCATTTCAGCTTTGATTTTGAATTGTGAACCAAGTTAAATTCTGTGCAACATTCAATTTCTTGAACAGTTTAAATATTTTAAATTTTATATGTTAATGAAACAGAAACTGTTAATGAAACAGAAACTCTTTCATCAGCAGTTTTCAAAGAAGCAGAATCATAGAATGGAGAAGTTGGAAGGAGTCTGTAAGGCAATCAAGTCCAACCCCCTGCTTCACGCAGAAATACAAAGCAAAGGATATCGGCCAGGTGGTTGTCTAAGTGTCTCTTGAATGCTTGCGTATATTAGTAGGCACTAATCTATGCAAGCATATCCAGAAAAAAGCAAAAATGATGAGGCACCTTGAAGACTGTTATAGCTAAATGTGTGCAGAAGTAGTATCCATGAAAGCTCACAATGAGATACAGCAATTAGTCTTTAAGGTACCACAAGGATGTATCCATGAAAGCTCACAATGAAATACAGCAATTAGTCTTTAAGGTACCACAACATTTTTGTTTTCTACTATTTTTTTTTTGTTTTGGTTTGGGTTTTTTTTTGTTTTTGCTTTTATTATTGTCTGGATTGAAGTAGCATCAATTTACTGCTTCAGGTAAAATATCTCCTGTTGCACTGGCAGAGTGAAGAAAATACTGGCCTGTATTTTTATACAATTATCTAACCAATGTGTATACTGTAAAATTCAAAGCTATGTTCCTTGTGCCTTAGGACTGTATTTCTTGTGGAAGCAGTGAAAATAAGTATGACAAAACCAAAAATAAAAACGAAAAGCCTGAAGTATGCAATTACCAAGGAACTGAATGATAATCCATGAATGCTCGCAATAAAATAAATCTGCTAGATTTTAAAAAATGCCACAATACTTTTGTTTTTACTTTTATTTTTATTATTCTTGCTGCTACAGTCTATTAGTGATACCATTTTGAAAATCATGAATTAATAGGTCTCTCTCTCTCTCTCTCTCTCTCTCTCTCTCTCTCTCACACACACACACACACACACACACACACACACACACACCCACAGACAGAGACTGCAGAAGCACTTACCTCTTTTTTCTGTCAGGGCAAACTGAATAGCATTTCCCCCCACACCACAGAATGCGTCTATTATGATGTCTGATTTGAAAGAGTGCCGCACACGGTCTGCAATGTGCTCTGCAATCTTCTCAGGAGTAACGGAAAACCATCCCTCTGATAAAAGAAAGCCATTGCTATAAATCTGAATTTTGCAATACCGTCTCAACATAAACAGCTTTGATGCAGTGTACTTTACAGCTGAATCATACAAATCTATTCATGAATAAAAGGGGAAGCCTACTAGTCAGACCAAAGCCCTATCTAATTCAGCATTTTCTGCCCCACAGTGGCCAGGCAGATGCCTACATTCAGCACTTAGTGGCCCTGCTTGCTTTTAACAGTTAGCAACAGTTCCTGGGTTATCCTTACCTAGTAAGAATATGAAGCAGGCTCCTTTCACATGTAGGTAAAAGCAACGAGGAATGTACAGTTTACTGTAGGTATGTGTGGCCTTCCAATAACTCTCATTTTTCCTAACCACTGCATAGGCTGGCGAGGAGATTCATTGAGAAACATATGAAGGATCTTAAAAGTCTCCAGAAATGACATATTGTGAAAGATCCTGGTTTACTGCTGCCAAACAAAGGCATGTAACACACGCAACCCTGGGTTATTGTTCACTTATAATCCTGGCTTGTTTGAAAAAAAAAATAAACCGGATCCTGGGTTCAAACATCGTTTCTTAATAAAATTTTTTTAGTTCATGTGAAACCTAGTAAACAGACTGCACACATTAGCAGCCTGCTTGTTCATAGCAAGCCAGGATAAGCCAAGTATCTTGGCTTACTATTATGTATGAATGCCACCAGCCAGTGACTACAGCATCAAGTGGCAATTTAAGCATATGGCAGAGTCATCACAGAACCTATTTGCCATTTTAAAATGAAGCAGTTTTCAATCCAAAGTACAGTCAGGCAATGGCTTGCCACTGGGAACTTACCTCTGTCTAGCTGAATCCCCTCATCAAATCGAGAAAACAATCTATACCGCTGGGCCCAGTATTTAGCCAGCTCAGGATCAGCAGCTATTTCAGGAGGCAGAGATGGTTTATTTCTCTTTTTCTTCCTCCTGGTCTTCTTGTTTTCCTTCTTCTTTGTGGTACCTCCTTCACCTAACCATGAAAACCACACTGTGTGATTAGAACATTTCTCTCAAATAGTTTTAACAGCTATTTGAGAATACAGTTTTAACAACATTATTGCAGCAAAATGGAACTGTTTTTAGCACCCTTTTCAAGAGAGAAAAAGAAAATACAAAAGCCAATTATTTATTTTATTCTTGCTGCACCTTGAGTAATTAAATGAAACATTCAGTGGATGTTTATTTCTCAGAGAAAACGTTAGAAATATGAGCCCAGTCAATGAAGGAAATCATGGTATAAAAACCAAATAGATACAGCAACAAACATCAGCATGGGATTTTTTTTAAAAAAAGTATTAGACCATGAAATAGACTTGAGAAAGTTCAAAGAATACAAACATCCAGCAAAAGCTGTGCACAAATAATACCTGCATTTATACAAATAAACTATTACAAAGCTACTCTTTCTGAAAGCCCTTTTCTTTGGACTGGAAAGATCTTAGCGATTGTAGGCTAGTGGCCGACAGCAGGTAATCCACTCCCCGGGTTGGGGGATTTGAGGTTATAATCTGACCCCACTCTCCAAGTGTTCCTGCTCAGCAATTTAGGACATAACAATTTAGTGCCACCTCCCCTCCCCAACACATGGAATGTCATTTCCAAAGAGGTCTGTTTTGAGACTCTTGCTTTTCAAGAATCAGGCACAGAATACACTGTTTGGTTTTCCAATTTTTTTCTCCCCTGCTTCGTGTTCAATTGTCTTAGAGGTGACAAGTGACATTCATCACGCTTCTATTTATGAAGCAGTCTTTTCTCTTTCTATAGTTACATTTTACTTGTTGTACTTTATTGTATTTTTATGGTAATTCTAATTATTTTAACACACACTTCTTCCTCTCTTGCAAGCTACACAGAGGACAGCTGAACATTGATAAATATTCCATTCCCCTGTAACTGAGGACAAAGTACTTCACTGATGCACTTTCTCCCTTCAACTTGAGCAAAAAGGAACAAAAAAGTAACCATGGCTGCACAGTCTTATAACTATTTTCTATGCTATTACATTATCCTAATGTATATAAAAACTGTTCATAATTTGTAATGTGTGCTTTAGTGGCTGAAGCGTTCAAATAGATAAAGACCGACCTGGATTGCTCCAGTCTGAACTCAGATCGCGTAGGATTATTAATCGTTGAACAAACGAACCTTTATCTCTTGGAAGACAAAGTGTATATGCACACAATTAATCTTGAATTCTTTCAAAATAATTTCTCACCTTCTGTTTCCATTTGCAGGTAATCTGGAATGTCCAAGGGAACAAGCTCTCTGCCCGATGGACATTCTTCTCTTCCTTCATCAGGCTTCTGAAAGTTACAGTTGCTTCCTGCTACTGCTAGGGTTTCCTTGCCTTTATTCTCAAGGCTGTTTCTTCTAAGTTTGCAAAAATCTGAACCCTGAGATATCACATCAGAGTTCTGGAAATCCAAATTATTTTGTGAGCTAGTGGCATTTTCTTCATCTTCTGAATCGCTGTTGGTAGAAGCATGATGAATTTTGTCTTCAGATGTCTCGTCCTCCTCCACTTCTTTCAAGAACCTTTCCACCTAAAAATACCAAGTGATCACACAAAAAAACTGTTTAAAAATTGTTTTTAATTTTTGAAAACTAGTCTTATGCTTTTTGATACAAAAAATTGGAGCATGTTATACAAATAATTAAACATATTTATCTGAATGCTGAAAAGGCTCTCTTGTTACTACAGCAAAACAAAAAAAAAGTACATTGGTCAAAACCCTGTTGTACAACTATGCATGCACAATTCAAGGTTGTGCCTGTGGCAGATGCTCTAATGGCAAGGCAGAAATATTATCCCTGAAGCCTTTCTACCTTGGCATTGTACAACTGATTATGCCGGGGACAAAGAACTGACTGTGCAACTGCAGAGCACAATTAGGGGTATAAAACTCCATGCAGGCATGAACAGGATTTTGCCCAATGTCAACAAAATACTGTAAATTCAAAACATTTTTGGCAATTAGCCAAAAAGCTCATGCCCCCAACAATTCATTGCAAATGAAGAGGCCCCTTCATTTACTTCCTGGTATTGGTAACATTTGCTATGATTTTCACAACTGTTTTAAACAATATGATTAGGGCATTATTTCAACTGCTTGACATTACAACTGGCACAAAGTCTTTATATGTATATTTACATATTTATGTCTGTCTGTCTGTTATCCATCCATCCACACACACACACACTCACACACAGAGAGAAGGCTTTCTTCTGTGTAAACTGGTCTTTGAAGTTTCTTTCAATACATATCGATGAATCAATTAAAAATGGCAAGCCCATAGAGCATTCCCCTCCCTCAAGAGAAATCACATCAGAGTACCTAAGTTTATCACAAATGTGCATTAGATATTAGACAAAGGGATGTGAAACAGTGTGCATTATAGCTATCTCAAATTCCAGCAATTCCATTCCATTCTCATAAATCTGGGTGTCCTGGTTCTCCACTTCCCATCCTCATAATAATCAGCATTCTATAGGCTGGTGATCATGCATCATCCTTATTGTGCTGTTTTGAGGGTTATCCCCTTCATGGTTTCCCTAAAAAAATTCAGATTTTTGCATACTTGGAAGAAACATTATGCACAAACAATAATAAGTGTTTGTGTAATGCAACTAAAACACAAAATTTAGAAAGCATATTATAATAAACAGTCAACAACTGAAAAAGAGACTTCTTTATACACTATGTTCTACCAAGGCTCTATGTCCATCACAGTTAAACAACTTACCTTGTTCAAAGTCTCACTCTTCTTGAACACCAACACTTCAGGTTCTTCAGTAAAAAATGTATGTTTGTTTTTGGCTTTGATTGTTCTACGCATGTCTAAAAACTTTGATTTAAATTTCATGTTTTTACTAAGATGAGTCACTCGTCTTTCACTGAATCCTGGAATGTCTCTGTATCTGAAGAAAGACACATTAAAGTTGACAACTACTGTTCAGTTCCAGGGATGGGGTCGACGAGAGAACAACAGAAAGCCTAAATTTGGTGAGAGGGGCTTCTTTTTATAAATCTTTATATTTATGATTTGAGTCTTCTATGCTTGACACCTTCCTTTAAAATGTGTTACATAAATGGGTACAGAATAGTTTAGTCTCAGCAGTCATCTTTACTTATAGATACACACCAATACATTCTTACCAAACAGATTTCAAGATTCCAGAAAGATTTAATTTTGTATTAATATATTTTAGAAACAAAGTAACCTATGTAGAATCAAATATTTTAACAGTCCACACAGGAACTGTGTATGTCTGAGACCTTTTATGTACAATAAACATGTGACTTTCATTCTATGTTACATTTTAGCACATTTGTTAAAGTTATATCTAAAGCTAGGGAAATAAGATGCCTTGAGTAAACAAACGTTTCTATGAGAATGCTAGTATTTCAATAATATCACAGGAAAAGGATGTCCCAAACACATAATGCCAATGATACCGCATTTAGCTTTTTTTTCTACAAGAAATGAAGGAAAACACTGCACTTATTACTTTTGCCCCGAGCCGTGCTTGAGCCCCAGAAGACAGCAAACCTTTTCTGGATCAGCCTGAGGATCTTCTTCAGCATCCAGTTCATGGCTTAAAAGAAACCACAGCATTTGTGTTACAATTTACAGCAAATGGGGGAATTTTTTTTTTTACATCTTCATGGCCTATTTCACTTTCTAAATTAAGAATGAAACAAATTTTAAGCAATTTAAAAACTAACATTCTTCCAATTCAAATTGCAACTTGTTCAGCTTACAGTGTTAGAACATGGTCACATCCACAGAAACCTCTTCAGGATCACTTGAATATGAGCCAGTGCACACCACAATTTACCCCAAACTATCAAAATTATCTATGATATTATGAAAACTACGGAGATAACTCTTCACTTCTGAAGAGTGACACGACATGTCTCTAATTTAAAAAAAATGTTTTCAATAGAGAAGGATAATAGGCATGATATGGGAGAGAAGACCTTTTGATTCTGCATACCACCTACACTACTATTTAAATGTAACATAAAAGCAGCAATACTGTATTTTGTTAGTCAAAGGCCACAAATAGGATAGCACCAAATAAGGATTAAGAAACTTGTAGAACTATATGACATTCCTGAACTGGGGGTGGGTGGGGAGAGAAGGATAAGGAATGATTGATAACCTGCCTCCTCTTCAATTTGACATTTTTATGTTCAGGTGGCTGCTCGTCTTCATCTTCGCTAGAGCCTGATCCCCCACCTCCTATGGAACATGGTCTAGCTGGTCCTTGTGAATCTCCTGGGAAACACAAGTGTGGTCTTAATATACATCACGTAAAACAATTAGCAGAAAAACATCAGTTGGAAACCATTTCCTAAATAACCTCATTTTTTTGTTTAACGTAATAAGCTGTTTATCACATAATCATTGTGTACCTGCTCCACCAGGCATATCCTTGCCGCCAATGTTGTTCTTTAAACATTAGGACCTGGGGGTAAATTCAAATGCTGTCCTTCTGAAGATCAAGAGAGTTGAGGCAGGGCAACCACAAAGTTCTTTTTTGCTTTCTCACAGAACTATGTAGTGCTATTACCATAAACTTACAGAAAAACATTACAACTGAATGGAATAGTCCTCTGAGGAAATATTTTCATCAGATATTTTCAGATGGAAATGTGGAAAGGTAATTTTTGAGTTTTGGACTCTGTGTACCAACCTGGCTGGTTTGAGCATCTGTTTGCAGAAGACACACTTTTTCCCCTTATTGACTCGTCAGATTTATTGGTGTGCCTGGAATCACAAGGGCAGTGTCTTTCAATGCTTGTTAAACTAAGTCCTTGATTACCATTAGTAACAACGTCTTCTGCTCTGCTTTGCTCAGAATTCAGATCTATTTTGCTGATTTCAGTAAGGATGTCATTACCACACTGACCATCATTTGGAAAAGGATTTTCTTCACATATGGCAACAGAAGGGAGAGAAGGATGTAATCTTGAGTCCAGCATTTCATCTACGCCAGTATTTTGTGTTTCTCCTGCTTGCTGTACTTCCAGCGTACTTGTATCTGCACCACTGTTATGTGTACTGTCAACAGTCCAGCCCTGATTTGCCCAGTAGCAAAACTGTTCCCAATAATACCAGTACAATTCCTTATAATGTTCATCCCACTTTTCCTTCAATTCAGGATTATTCCAAGGCTCACCAATAGACAAAAGGTCAGCATCAACATTTCCCTGTTTCTCTTGCCAACTTTGCCATAGGAGTCCTTCTCCGTACTCGTTCCAATATGTTTCCCATTTTTCTTTCATATGCTCATCAAACAAAACTTCATTTTCACAGTGTACATCACTCCTTATTCCCTTTTTAATTAAGGGCACATTATCAGAAACAGACTGGCTGTCATTATCATCGTCATCATCATGATCCTCTTCCACAGTCTCTTCCATTATTTTGAGAATATCTTTTTGTACCATCTTTTTCTTTTTCTTCTTTTTCTTCACTGCTTTGTTACGCCTCTTGCCAACATTCTCCAATGTCTGAAATGCAACGTGAAAGACAGTAAATAGCTATGCTAATTTGTGTAGGGAGCAATGATCTGTTTCAATACAACTTGGCTTGCTTCATTTATAAATCCATTCATTTATTTCTTAAAGTCTCATGATTCATGTTATAGCTTCGTTATGATAGAACCAGGTGGTCGCAAATAAGAGATGGTCTTAAACTGGAAAAATGATGAAATGGGATGGTTTATGGGTACTTATGAACCATGAATCATTTCCCCAAACCACAGAAATACAATCTGGTTCATGGTTTGTTTGTTTTTTGGTTCATTTTTGGGGGGAGGGAAACCTAATGCCTCCGCCCTCTCTGCCACCTGCTGACCCCCTTCCTACTGCCCCGTCACCTCCCTCCCTGGTTCTGCCTCCTCCTCCTCCTCTTCCTCCTCCACCACAGCCACCTTCGGAGACAGTGGCCAGCCTATCAGCTGATATGCATGCGCATACACAGAGACAGTCAGTCTGGCTCTCCCTTCCAGTGCATGCGGAGAGACAGCAGATCCTGCTCTTAAAAGGGAAGCCAGGCCTGTCTCTGAAGATGGCACTGATGGAGGAAGAAAAGGAGGAGGTACTGCGAACAGATAGGGAGGTGATGGGGCAGTAGGAAGGGGGGAGGGGGGAAACGGTTTTCTGAAGGAAAATGAAGCACCAAGCAGAAAATGTTTGGCACTTCATTTCATTTTGGCAAAACAAGTTGCATGAACCGAACCACAAACCAGCCCACAAATCAACCTGCCTCATGTTTTTTTGTCCCCACCCCATTCATAATTCAGTTCATGTCCATCTTTAATAAAAATGTTTTAGCAACCACATCATTTGCAGTTCTGCTATGTGATTTGGCTCACTCTTAGCTCAGCAACCAAGCACATTTTTGTTGCCTGATTTTTTAAATTCAAATCCAACTTTTATTAAACACCCCCCCTTTTTTTCTTCTTCTTCATTTAACTCTGGCACTAATTCTAGAGCCAGAAAGGAAATGAGATGCCTTCTGTAGAGATTTGTGAGAAATCTTTGCTTTTAATATAGGCGTGTATTTTCTAACATAGCTATTTAGGCTCATGCACAGAGAAAGGTCAAAGAATACAAGGCTCCTTTAGACAAAGACCAGAAAGAAGGAATAGCTTATAAGATTTATGAAATGATATACTGGATTTACAATATCAATGTTTCAGTTTCTCTAGAATAGGTTCTGATTGATGGCTCCTAGATTTCAGAATTGGACTGTACTAGAAGCCAATTTAGAAACTGTAATGCCCTAAAATACTGTGCTTCTGGATTTTCAAACAACGTTTGTTCCCTATTATCAAATTAAAACACCATTTGGCTCTTGCTTCAAATTATTTTTCAAGAGACTCAATTCTGATAATTCTTCCATCATTAATGAAGGTAAACATAATCTCAGTTATATTTATCTAGCAAATTGAAGCTGTTATACAGAATTTTATATATATATATATCAACATAGCAGCCATTCCACACACTCCAAAGAAATAAAATTCTGCTCTAGAACTAATTAACTCAGCTCTTTATTCCCAAAGCTAAACCAATTTTCCTAAATAAAAAGATGAAAAATACAGATAATTTGTTAATACTAGTTAATGTAAATAACTTTTAAAACATTTCCATAGCTTCAAAAGCACAAAAGAACAGAAACATTGGAAATAAACTGTTTACCACAAAAGTCTTATGCTTTTCCAGACTGCCAAACTGTACAGGCAAGCCCATACTCTTCATGAGTTCAGTCTCTGAATCTATTTCAATATCTTCCAGTCCAGCAGCATCGTTGCTACATAAATCGTTACAACAACAGATATGATGTTTTTCTATTTTTTCATCATCTTCAGTTACTTGATCTTCTCCTGTTAATACCAAATGTAAAATTAAAGAATCGCTTTTTAATTCCACCCTTAGCCTGTTGTAACATTTCTGATGCAGCAAAAGCACAATATTAAATGCAGCAGTCATTTTCCAAAATTACAGCGGTTAAACTACAGTACTGCAGTGAAGAGTCTGCTCGTGACCTGAGTTTAATCCCAGGCTCAGATAGCTGGCTTGAGGTTAACTCAGCCTTCTATCCTTCTGAGGCCTCTAAACTGTATAGCCAGCTTACTGTGGGGACAATGTGTAGCCTGCATAATTATATTGCAAACTGCCTAGAGGGAGCTTTAAGCACTATGGGGCGGTATATAAGCAGCATACTTTGCTGTGTTTTTACGTTTACTGAACCACAAACGTCTTCATAAATGGCACAACAGTATCTAAGAATTCAGTGTTTTTTGTGCAAGTCAAAATTGCACAAAGCATATAAAAATGAATATGAGACACAAACCCCCACAAAGAAACTAAAATGAAAGAGAAAACAAACATTTATGCCCTCATCATATCTATGTGAAAAGTGCTTTTTTTCCATTTAAGGAACATCTTACCTGTACTGTTCTCTTCCTCCTTGCAATAAAATCCCTTTAAGCCTAGTTTGTATAGCTTCCGATCCCTGGAAAAAAAATGAGTACATACATTACTATGAACATTGCCAATAAAATACTGAAATGAAATCTCAGTGAACAAGGTAAATGTGTTACCAAAAAAGCTTTCCTTGCACAACAGATTTTAATGTATTAGCCCACCTTAAGAGAGCCATTATGTGCTACTTGTGAGGTTACAGTAAATATTTCTCTGAAGGATTGAGTACTCGTTGGAATGAATATTCAGCCAATTAGTTTATGTACAGTGAAGTAGGCAAACCACTGGCCTGATAACATATAATCCCGAAGCAGAAACTAGTTGCCGCATTCTGAACCAAAGGCCATTTGCATACTTATGTATAAGGTTGTGCTTTGGGTAATACCTTTCCTATGAAAAATTATGAAGAAGGTGAGTTTCTGAATTCTAACAGATGTGTTCTGCTTCTGGCTCCTTGAGTTGTAAGTTCACAAGGCAAGGATGGCATGAGGGTAAGGGCAAACACTTCCTTGGCATAATGAAGACTTCCAACTCAAAACTTCCAACATGAAAGCTAGCTTATTTACAACTTTTGTATCCAGTACAATTACAGCAATATCCCAGTGTACAATCAACTGGCAGACTGATGAGAACTATAAAATGAGCCATTGTTAAGTTGAATCCTATTTTTTCATTAAACTCAGTTTTAAAATACACTTTGGTTTATGGAGAATCTTCATGCCTTATAAATGAAACTACTGCTGTCTTCTTACTTCATCACACTGTCTCTTGCCTGCTTGAACTTCTTATTTCCCCTTCATGCCTCTTTACTCTTGCTTGTTTGCTCTCTTGCCCCTCCCTCCTTCCTCTCCTCTCTTGCTTAGTGATGTAAATGTTCCAGTATACTGGTCAAAGTGGTTTTAGATTTAGGCATCCTTCAGTCTCGAGAGACTATGGCAACATGCTCTGAATAGAGATCTTGGAACAGCATCTAGTGTGGCTGAGAAGGCCAATTTGAGAGTGACAATCCCTTCCACACTGAAGACAAATACAATTTATACCCTGTCCAGCTCCCTGATTTTGCTGGTTTCAGGACTGCCTCTTTGCCTGGGCCTGCTGGACAAGGATCTCTTCAAATTGGGAGAGGCCGTGATGTACCTCCTGCCTCTAGACTGAATGCTTAGACATCAAGGTTTCCCATCTGTTGAGGTCCATTCTGAAGGCCTTCAGATCCCGCTTGCAGATATCCTTGTATCGCAGCTATGGTCTCCCTCTGGGGTGATTTCCCTGCACTAATTCTCCATACAGGAGATATGGTTTTGGACCACACAGCTCCTGGTTTTGGACCATTCAGTGGTTTTAAGTTTTTGGTTATTAGGAAGGGGCATTAGCCAATACTGACACAGCTGTAGAAGTGGAGGGTTGCAAAATTAGCTGTTTCAAGCTGGAGGTTCTCTGTTGCACCAACATTAAATAAGTGTTTCTAGAGATGACCATACTGTTTTTCTTCTGGTTGCTGTTGCTGGAAATAACACATAAAAGGATTGTCCTAAATTCAGGAAGAAGCCCCATGTTTTTGCTTCCAGATTAGATAACAGAGAGTGAAAGGGCCCCAGTGAGTACCAGTAGCCTTACCCATTTGTAATTAGACTAAGCTGAATTGGACTCCTATGACTGAAATCTACAGGCATTAAATCATGCTTAAGGCAAACCCTTGAAAAAACAATAGTGATCGGAAAAGTTGAAGACAGCAGGACAAGAGGGAGAGCAAGTACTGGAGGAATTGACTCCTTAAAGTAAGCCACAAGAGCTGAGCAGGGCTCTGGAGGATGGGGAATTTTGGAGATTGCACATTCATAGGGTCGTGACTTGACCTCAGGTAATAACAAGGCAAATCTGTCCACTGATTTCTACCCAGCTCAAGAGCCACTTTTT